GAGTTCGAACCTGTTGCTAACCTGACGAGTGTATGTCGAATGGTCTCTTCTCGGCAGATTTCTGTTTCGTACCGTGGGTGATTGATAGGAGCAGACACCTATACATCGGGGTGCGCTCTCTGTACATCTCTTCCACGTGGTGCGCTTGCTGAGCATGGTAATGAAGAATAGTAAGCTTAAACATACACAAAATAGTGCAGTGACTACTCGCGCCGGCAATGAGTCAGTTTGACCAGTACCCTCAAAGCAATCAACTTTTACTGAGCCGCAGGGACTTGGAACTCACTGCAGCAGACGACATTTGCATGAGGGAAATGCTAGTATGCAATAACAGTTGAAGGCTGAATAGTGTTTTGTGGGCAGAAATCCGGCCTTATTTCCATTTTTCTGAAAATTTTCCTGAAGTTGGCTCAGTGTTGTACAGGGAAAGCATAACCTTAATCACGCCTAGATTGCGGGGAATAAGGGGGGGGGGGAGGGGGAGGGCGGGGGAGGGGGGGGGGGCGTCACTCCGCCGTCCAACATTTTGTGCGGGGTAAACGCTCCCCCCTCCTACATCTCCTCTCCGCCTGTTTCCGCGCTTATGGCTCCGATACCACCTTGGCAAGGTTCTCGCTGCCTTCCTGCATGTCACTGAGCATCTGCATGCATTGCGCCAATGCGCATCTGTATAACAGACTGGTACGACCCGTTTGCACCCCGCTTGTCTGCGTCTGTGACTCCATCCACCGGTGCTGGGTGAGTTGGACGGGCCGAGATGCCCGCCGCCTGCAGCGCTGGTTTGCAGCCGCACACCGCGTACCGCACACCGCACACCGACACCCCCGCTACCGACCGTGCCCGGCTCTGCGCGCCGGGCCAGCCCTCTCCAGCTAGCCGCCGTGTTTACTGGGCAGTGAAGTTTAGCTCTACCCTTCTACATCAAACAAAGAGCAAGGCGAAGTAAACAGTATGTACGAAAATACGCCCGATCCGTACCAGATCACCGGAATAGAGTGGTAGCGCGTGGGCGCGCGACCGCACACCCTGCCAGCCATCATGGGTCCCTCGCGGGGTCAAATTGTGATGATCATTGCAGCCTATGACGTAGCGTCTCAACGAGTTACGGTTCACTTTGGGATTCACTGTATCTGGTGTTTACAGAGGTAAACAACGCTTACCCCCGTTTCCCACAAATCGCAAATGGTCTGATTTGCCTCCTTAACCGTCGCTCTGACACACGGTTTTTCATGCCGCGGAGTAACAGAGTGGGAATGCGAGCCCCACCACCCCCAGGCGTTTCTAAACTGATGAAGATAGAGCTTAGCAAAAAGCACCAATGGATTAGTCTCAACGAGGTGTCCAATTGATACTAACTTGCATGTTGTTAGGTAATACAAAAAAAAAACAGTTGCCCCTATTATGGCAGATCAACTGTCGAATTTTCCGGAAAATCGCTTTTTTTACTTTACATCATACCTACGACGGCATCCCTGTGGGGACACAAAATTTGAGCAGGTGTTTTCATTGTTAACTGCTGAGTAAAATCGCTATATAATTTTATTGTTTTGATCATATATATATATATATATACATATACATATACATATGATACCTGACTTTGCCAATGTGAGAGTGCCGGCAGGCAGTGCATCCCGCGGCATCATTAGTTGCCGCCCGCCGCCCGCAACGGCCGTAGATCGCCGTGCACTGTTCCTCAAACTACTACTGTTCCGAAATAAGAAAAGCTAGACACACGTTTCTGGTGTCGAAATACGCCTAATGGATGCCCATAAACTATCGGAAATTTGGACGTGATTGCAAAACACTTTAAAGGGGTATCTTCGACGTACCTCCGCGGACATGGTTATCCCCTATCACGGCGAGTGTTATGATTTGTAGCCTAAAGAAGTGAGCCGGATCTGAAACGTACAGCTTGTTGATGGTTGTGTGGCAAGCGGCGTATTTATCCGCCGCGGGCCACGTGCTATGTTTTTAGTGCAGTTGGGTTATTCGTACGACGTGTGTGTTTTTGCGATCCCGGGGACAGGGTTGAATAGGTTAGTTTCAAATGCGGCGCGCGGCGCATCAATCCGCCGCGGGCCACCTGCTGTTTTTCGATGTGCGAGTACGGTTTTTGTTTACTACGTTTGGCCCGAGTGCTCATTCCGGACATGCTCCCCAGTACGATCAATAGGGGGCCTGCCCCTTAAAAACACCGACCTCGTAGAAGTAGGATACGTTCAGCCAGTGCAGAGCATTCTCAAATAGTACACGGGAACGTTCAGACAGTGGGTGGCACGGTGTGGGAGCCTTATCGGCCGGGTGCGTCGGGGGCTGGTTACTCGACGCCTTCACCTCGGCAAAATGTAAGCCCGGCGAAGGAATCGACCCTTTGGCGATTCTGAGAACTCTGGCCCCTTTTTCTCCTTTTAGATTATTAAGAATATGTTTTCCGTAGGTTTCTTTGAGATTACGTGCTCGCGCACAAATTCTGATCAGCTATTCGTATGATTTTTGCGCTTACATCGTATCGCAACAATTGGTATATTTAATACATAACTCTGTGGCTAAGGTGTGTTGTTATATGACGTGGCGAACCCTGCCTGGCGTTTTTCTACGCGCTTCAGTGACAGTCTGGAGGAAAATAGCAGATCGACGGTGGGCGGCCTGCATTTTGTGCCATGAGAGTGCACGTGACACGGTCAGACCAACATTTACACATCAAATCAAAGATACCCGTAAACTTCGTACAGCGTGGGCGACTGTGAATTTTCCTCGAGTATAATGAAAGGATTTTTGTCACCGCGAACTAAATGCGTCACATACGCTTTTGCATTATGACTCCTCGCGAGGAGCGATGGAGAAAGTTCTACGTAGTACGTAGGCAATTGTTTAGCCGTGGATTGAAAGGCCGGTATACGGTATACGGTATACGGAAAGGCATACGGTATACAACGTCATTGTGCGAGTGCGTAACTTCAAAACCATGCAGGAACTCCATCCAAAATGAGTCAGCCACGGTGCTTGTTGCTTTTATGCAAGCCGGGCTTTGGAAATCTGGTGATTACCGTTTGGTGTCTGAGAAATCCGTCGGGTGAGCATGACAATATTGCTAAAAAAAAAATGACAAGCCAGCACTCCGAGTTACGCCGACGGCAAAAAATCAGGCTGAAGGAAACGAAGACGATGGTATAGTATTGGAAATTTTCCGCGTGACATAAATGGTGACCACTGTGGGGATGTCCCCTGAGAGTGAACCGTGAAAAATCAAGAAACCTAACGACGATATTTTATAATTGAAAAACTCCCCGCGTAACAGCTACATTCAAGAAAATTCCACCTGCTGTCACGTTTTGGGGAATTCAACCGCATTTCTTTCCTTTCAGCAAATAAACCTATGGTTGTCAAAATGATGCATTTAAAGTAGAATGATAATACCGAAAATAGAAATATTTTCAAGGATTTCATATGGCTTACTTGCTTGCATAAAACTCCCATGCTATGGCTTTCTTTTCATGGGGCGCCGTCTCAGTCTACTTAGTGGAAATTGCCTTCAAGCAATCAAACAACCTACAAATTATAGCAAATATGTCAGCCAGATCTCAAGCCTGGGGACATCCCGAATCTTGTGCCGAATGGGGCAGGACTTACCCCCAATTTACCTAACATGTTTTAACATATAATTCATCACAAAACCTGGGCACATGGAAGACGTCCCCAAAATTATCCAAAACTTGAACGCAAAGCACTCCTGAATCAGGCTCCCTGAACTTTGCATTCATGAGGTGAGTTTCCCTCTAAATATGAATAGCCCATCTCACTATGAAATTCTGCTCTGTTGCAGCCCTAGCAAAATGTTTGGAGGTCATGTCACTTTGCAGCGTCTATTGCAACAAAAAAATAAATGAAGCTAACAACGATTCTACCCCCATCCTAAACACTGAGGATGAAATTCTACTATGAGGTGTGACTTGCAGTGAACTGGACGCATTCATCTAAAAGCAAATACTCATAATCCGGCCTTTCAGTTTGATGGCTCATTCAAAGCCGTCCACTACACACACTAACGTAGGCTCCAAGTAAACAAGGAAAAGCGCGCCACTCTTACAATAAGGAAATTATTCACAAACACTGTTATGACGTCATTAGTGTTGATATCACAACTACTATATTGCACCGTTTTTTGCTGACAACGAATATATTAAACATTTCTTGTAACTTTCAGCTCCACGGTTGCATTACGTCATGTTGAATTTGCGTGTTCAGTTAGCGACCAGTCTTTTCGCTGCGGAGACACGCAGTAAGGAAAGGAACGTATTTATAATGAACTAAGATAGCCCTTCAAGAACTTGGAAGACGGTGTAGTCACCCACCATCTCCCAAGATAATCACCCACTAATAGTAATATCTGTGCCATAACCTGTCTCACACAAGGCAGGGATGAAAAATATCTAGGCCACTACAACATTTCTTTTCTCTTTCGATGTTGTAATGTGCACAATTTCGTCGCAATAGACTTTTCATGAAATAATGTGCTAAACAGAACATTGAACGCTTGCAGCGTGTTTGCCTTTTTCATGAAGGGCAGGCGTTGATATGAGTCTCCGCGCTCGTGGGCGAGTAGATGCTTTTTGACGTCCTGATGGATGGCTACCTGGAATGGAATTCCCCTTGTTGATCTACCATGAGCCTCGGTTTTTCCAACCGTGTAATTTCCAATGCTATAGAGACGGCTCACACCATGCGCAGCACACGGATAATTCGTAAACTGGTTACGTTTGGGCTAGTAGTCCCTTAGTGTGCATATTTGATTCGCCCATCTTGCGTAAATGCTCCAGCAGCTGTCCGCAGAATTGTCTCGCTCCCCCCAAATAGCAAAGCTTTGGGCGCCTCTGCATGCCTCAGACGCTGGAATTTCCAGGCTGTAGCCCGCGGCGCACAGAGTTGCACCATCCGATCAGTTGGGTGGCGACAGGAGCGGCCGTCGGGCTGTGGAAGGCGTTTGTTCCGACCTACAAATGGGTGTCGGTGTGCGCGCGCAGCTCGGGGCTGTGCTCGTGCTGACGCTGACGGCGTGGCTGGCGGACGCGGTTCCCACAGCTAACAGCAACCGGCCGGACATTCTGCCGACGGACTGCGGCCGCCGCCTTGTGCGGCCAGACGAAGCGCGCCGACCGTTCATAGTCGGGCCGGGCAACACCACCGCCTATTATGGTAAATATCCGTGGCAGGCGCGGCTGGTCATGTACGATGCCAATGTGAAGGGCTATGTACATCACTGCGGAGGCATCATTGTCTCGCAGGAACACGTGGTGACGGCCGCCCACTGCGTGATTGAGGTGGCCCCACGTCGGCTGCTGGTGCGTGTCGGAGACCTCCGATTTGACGACCGCGAGCTGTTCGAGCAGGAGTTCGCCGTCGCCAGCTACCACGTGCACAGCCGGTTCGGCACGGCTGCTGGCTTGCGGCACGACGTGGCCCTGCTGCGGCTACGTCGCCGCGTCGGACCCGGCATCGAGTTCGGCCGCTACGTGCAGCCGGCCTGCCTACCGGCAGCCGGCACCAGAGTACGAGACGTTTTCTGCCGTGCGAGGTGTCCGGCTGGGGCCGCATTGCGGACCTTGCGCCCATCTCGGAGGTGCTGGCGCGGCGTCTCGGTGCCGCTGGTGTCGGACGCCTTCTGTGGTGCGCCGAGGTGTACCAGGACCGCTTCCTGCCCGGCGCCATGTTCTGCTCGGGCCCGACGGGTGGCGGTGCCGACAGCTGCGAGGGCGACTCGGGCGGCCCGCTGGTGTGTGGCGACGCGGACAGCGGCCGCTTCGTGGCGTATGGCGTCGTGTCGTCTGGCGACCCGCTTGGCTGCGGCCGGCGTCCCCGGCCTCTACACTAAGCTGTCGGCCTACACTGGCTGGCTGTTGCGCCGCCTACAGCTGGACCAGGAGGAGGATGCGGCCCCGAGCACGACAGTGACCGCAGCTCCAGATGCCGCCGACCGGCCTCAGGGTGGACCTGGGCCGGCCTTGTTCCACCCCGGACGGTGTGGCCGGCTTTTGCCGTCACTTACGGACTGGTCCCAACCTGCTGTCGTCGGGCGGCGAGGACCTGTCAGTGACGCTGAACGGCCTCTCTGCGGCCTGGATGCGGCCACCACACCGCTGTTCTGCTGCCCTGGACAGGAGCCGCGCGGCGCCGGCTGCGGGAAGACCAGCTTTTCGCCACCGGCGCAGCTGGGCGCCTCGTTCGTCAAGAACGCCGCCAACTTTCCCTGGATGGCGGCAATCTCCGAAAGGCAAAAGGGCGGCAGAGATATAGTGGTCTGCGGGGGCGCCGTGATCTCTGACCGATGGGTGTTGACGGGGGGGACCTGCGCTCGCGATGGCCGCCAGCTGAGTGTGCGTTTCGGTGACCTCGACTTGCAGGACACCTCTGACGACAATCCTAACGCTCCTCCGTTCGAGCTGGACATCCTCAAAGTTGCGCGGCATCCCCAGTTTTCGCCGCCGGAAAAGAGAGCTCAGGACATTGCCTTGCTGAAGACTGTGTCAAAAATTTCGTTCTCCAGCACTGTGAGCCCTATTTGCCTACCAGATGCATCCCTTACGTCAATTGTGCCAGCGGGTGATGACCTCATCTTTGCGGGCTGGGGCGCGACAAGATTTGCCGCAAGCACAGCGTTCTTGTCCCTGAAATGGGCCAGGGTGAGGGTGGTGGATTTCAGAGATTGTAGAAGGCAATTACACCAAGATCCGACCACTCATCCCGTATTTTGATGCAGGCTCGTTTGGTACGAAGTTTTTTGAACCAACATCGGTGTTCTGGTGTGCTATCAATATCGGCGATCAGGGTTCTGTGTTAATGAAAGTTATCGGGGAGGGTGACATCGCGAGGTGGTACGCAGTGGGGTTGGCTGTTGCTGGAAAGGGCTGTGGCGACGAAGAGTTTCCGGATATCAACATCGCGCTTGGACCATCACTGGACTGGATCCAATCGGTCATCACGGCGCCATCATAAATGTTGCCCTTAGTTGCCTGTACTGTTCATCAGTGCAACCGCACAGCCACACCTCCGTGTTTTCAGCAGATTTCTAGTGCGGTGCGTTGTATGAAATGACCTCTGTTAAGCCGGCTTTTATGTGAACAGACGCCCAATACATGTCAGCAGTCAGTAACACTGTGTCAGCCGTAAACGATGTCTCGACCATAACGGACCCTCCTGGTGGGGCTCTAGCATATCCGCGACCGGCAATCAGGAGGCAGGAGCTAGACGCCCGCCGCAATGCCGATGAGCAGAGCACAGACACACCACTGCCAGAGTACCTGACGGTTCAGCGTTACAAGCTGGACTCCGACAGGAAGCCGCTGTCATTGAAAGGCGCTGCCGCTGGACTGGAACCCGCTCCATTGTCAAAAAACGTTCTCCAAGACATGCTCCCGAAAGCTCTGAATATTTTCTGATGACTCCAGTGAACTCCACTGATGCAGCCGGTAGCAGTGTAGAATATCATAAATCCTTGCAACCTGCGAGAACATAACACAAAAACCCCTTTCAGAGTGGTTGGGAAAGTCCGCAGCATTCTCCGGTCCCCTTGTCCCCATCTCTACGCTCGATTGGTTTGGGCCCATACGTCCTGCTCCTATTGCCCCTTTACCGAGTCTTCATAGAAGTGCGGTGCCAGCAAAAGTTACAGCAACATGACAATGTTAGTAATAGGAACCACTTGTCCCTCTCCTACCCCGGTTAATGGGGTTGTCTTGGCACTAAGAGGCGCAACTCTACGAACAGCTGAAAAGCCAGGGCCATCATACGCTCCAGCTTACAACTTGACGGACACCCGACCTTTGTTTGAGATCAACTGCACTTGCGCGCAAACTGTCGTTGCGCACTAGAGACGGTATGAAGATGTCCCTTAGCAGCAGCCTTGTAATTTTGCGCTGCAAACGTGCTGATCTGCAAAGAAGTTCACCGCTGTTTGCAGTTGTCGAAGCGCGGAGTGAGGGATTGTTTGAGGCGAACTTCAGCAGAAACTAGCTGAAAATGTATGGTGATCTGGGTGCTCTCGTAAAAACGACTATTTCAGCATGCGAGACGCGCCTCGCTGAGTGCTTCCCGTACCTGTCAAGAACTTACTTGTTTTGTTTTTTTGTTTCGGCTACCTTATAAGATGAGGTGATATTTTGGTGGGCGGACGGTCTCAAGATGAGTTTTATGATGGCCACGCGTGCGTTTCAGACATCCGTCTCGTATTACACGCATTTCATACGTCTTACATAAAAACCACACAGGTGTAAGTCTGGAATAACACGCGATGTGTCGCGTCTGGGATATCTCCAACTGATCACTTCGCTGTGCCCAAATGATCCCCATCCCCTCGAAAAGGAGCGTCACAACCAGACTAAGATAGAAGCCATGCGTTGCAACGCATCGCGGTCATGTGGAATTACCGCCGGGTGCATGAGTAGACGACTGCTGAATGACACTGCACCAAGCGCTATCTACAATGGCGGAATTGAAGGGAGGTATCCACATTTCTGTGGGGTTTGAACTGAACAAGCGATCTGGAAGATCACTCTGTGCAGTACACAAAGTAAGGTCTTAAAATACGGAATAGGTATCTCTTCCACAACAGAGTACAAATAATACCTAATCAAAAGCGCGTTGGGTATAAAAAAACCTCATTATTCGCACGATCAAAGTGAAGAGCATATATTTTCCAAACAGTTCAGGCCAGACTATCTACGTGACGCACTGACATCAACAACGGGCCAATAGGAGATCAAGATTCTTCTCTGGCCTCTAATGTCTTCTACCTTGAAAGTCCCTTTAGATGAATGCAGGATTCAGAATTCGACGGACTGCGGCCGCCGCATCGTGCGGCCGTACGAGGCGCGCCGACCGCTCATAGTCGGGCCGGGCAACACCACCGCCTATTATGGTCAATATCTGTGGCAGGCGCGGCTGGTCATGTACGATGCCAATGTGAAGGGCTATGTACATCACTGCGGAGGCATCATTGTCTCGCAGGAACACGTGGTGACGGCCGCCCACTGCGTGGTTGAGGTGGCCCCACGTCGGCTGCTGGTGCGTGTCGGAGACCTCCGATTTGACGACCGCGAGCTGTTCGAGCAGGAGTTCGCCGTCGCCAGCTACCACGTGCACAGCCGGTTCGGCACGGCTGCTGGCTTGCGGCACGACGTGGCCCTGCTGCGGCTACGTCGCCGCGTCGGAGCCGGCATCACGCTCGGCCGCTACGTGCAGCCGGCCTGCCTACCGGCAGCCGGCACCAAGTACGAGACGTTTCTGCCGTGCGAGATGTCCGGCTGGGGCCGCATTGCGGACCTTGCGCCCATCTCGGAGGTGCTGCGCGGCGTCTCGGTGCCGCTGGTGTCGGACGCCTTCTGTGGTGCGCCCGAGGTGTACCAGGACCGCTTCCTGCCCGGCGCCATGTTCTGCTCGGGCCCGACGGGTGGCGGCGCCGACAGCTGCGAGGGCGACTCGGGCGGCCCGCTGGTGTGTGGCGACGCGGACAGCGGCCGCTTCGTGGCGTATGGCGTCGTGTCGTCTGGCGACCCGCTTGGCTGCGGCCGGCGTCCCGGCCTCTACACTAAGCTGTCGGCTTACACTGCCTGGCTGTTGCGCCGCCTAGAGCTGGACCAGGAGGAGGATGCGGCCCCGAGCACGACAGTGACCGCAGATCCAGATGCCGCCGACCGGCCTCAGGGGGACCTGGGCCGGCCTTGTTCCACCCCGGACGGTGCGGCCGGCTTTTGCCTTCACTTACGGGACTGTCCCGACCTGCTGTCGTCGGGCGGCGAGGACCTGTCAGTGACGCTGAACCGGCTCTCTGCGGCCTGGACGGCCACCACTCCGCTGTTCTGCTGCCCTGGACAGGAGCCGCGCGGCGCCGGCTGCGGGAAGACCAGCTTTTCGCCACCGGCGCAGCTGGGCGCCTCGTTCGTCAAGAACGCCGCCAACTTTCCCTGGATGGCGGCCATCTCCGAAAGACAAAAGGGCGGCAGAGATATAGTGGTCTGCGGGGGCGCCGTGATCTCTGACCGATGGGTGTTGACGGGGGCGACCTGCACTCGTGATGGCCGCCAGCTGAGTGTGCGCTTCGGCGACCTCGACTTGCAGGACACCTCTGACGACAATCCTAACGCTCCTCCGTTCGAGCTGGACATCATCAAAGTTGCGCGGCATCCCCAGTTTTCGCCGCCGGAAAAGAGAGCTCAGGACATTGCCTTGCTGAAGACTGTGTCAAAAATTTCGTTCTCCAGCACTGTGAGCCCTATTTGCCTACCAGATGCATCCCTTACGTCAATTGTGCCAGCGGGTGATGACCTCATCTTTGCGGGCTGGGGCGCGACAAGATTTGCCGCAAGCACAGCGTTCTTGTCCCTGAAATGGGCCAGGGTGAGGGTGGTGGATTTCAGAGATTGTAGAAGCAATTACACCAAGATCCGACCATTCATCCCGTATTTTGATGCAGGCTCGTTTTGTACGAAGTTTTTTGAACCAACATCGGTGTTCTGTGTGCTATCAATAGCGGCGATCTGGGTTCTGTGTTAATGAAAGTTATCGGGAGGGTGACATCGCGAGGTGGTACGCAGTGGGGATGGCTGTTGCTGGAGCCGGTTGTGGCAGAAAGAGTTTCCGGATATCAACATCGCCCTTGGACCATCACTGGACTGGATCCAATCGGTCATCACGGCGCCATCATAAATGTTGCCTTTAGTTGCCTGTACTGTTCATCAGTGCAACCGCACAGCCACACCTCCGTGTTTTCAGCAGATTTCTAGCGCGGTGCGTCGTATGAACTGAGCGCTGTTAAGCCGGTTTTTATGTGAGCAGACGCCCAATACATGTCAGCAGTCAGCAGCACTATGTCAGCCGCCAACGATATCTCGACCATAACGGACCCTCCTGGTGGGGCCCTAGCATATCCGCGACGGGCGATCAGGAGGCAGGAGCTAGACGACCATCGCAATGCCGATGAGCAGAGCACAGACACACCACTGCCAGAGTACCTGGCGGTTCAGTGTTACAAGCTGGACTCCGACGGGAAGCTGCTCTCATTGGAAGACGTTGCCGCTGGACTGGAACTTGAACCCGAAACATGGAGAACATTTCACAAAAAACTTTCATAGTGGTTGGGAAAGTCCGCAGTCCTCCTTCAAAAGTCCTCCGGTCCCCTTGTTCCCATCTCTACGCTCGATTGGTTGGGCCCATGGCCCATACGTCCTGCTCCTATTGCCCCTTTGCCGAGTCTTCCTAAATATGGAGGCCAGCAAAAGTTACAGAACATGGCAATGTCAGTATTAGGTACCACCTGTCTCTCCCCTACTTCGGTTAATGGGTTTGTCTTGGCACTAAGAGGCGCAAATTTACGAACAGCTGAAAAGCCAGGGTCATCATACGCTCCAGCTTACAACTTGACGGACACCCGACCTTTGTTTGGGATCAACTGCACCTGCGCGCAAGTTGTCGTTGTTGCGGACTAGAGACGGGATGAAGATGTCCATTAGCAGCAGCATTGTAATTTTGCGCTGCAAACGTGCTGATCTGCACAGAAGTTCACCGCTGTTTGCAGTTGTCGAAGTGCGGAGTGAGGGATTGTTTGAGGCGAACTTCAGCAGAAACTAGCTGAAAATGTATGGTGATCTTGGGTGCTCTCGTAAAACGACTATTTCAGCATGCGAGACGCGCCTCGCTGAGTGCTTCCCGTACCTGTCAAGAACTTACTTGTTTTTTTTTTTTTCGGCTACCTTATAAGATGAGGTGATGTTTTGGTGGGCGGACGGTCTCAAGATGAGTTTTATGATGGCCACGCGTGCGTTTCAGACATCCGTCTCGTATTACACGCATTTCATACGTCTTACATAAAAACCACACAGGTGTAAGTCTGGAAAACACGTGATGTGTCGCGTCGGATATCTCCAACTGATCACTTCGCGTGTGCCCAATGATCCCCATCCCCGAAAAGGAGCGTCGCAACCAGACTAAGATAGAAGCCATGCGTTGCAACGCATCGCGGTCATGTGGAATTACCGCCACGGGTGCATGAGTAGACGACGCTGAATGACACTGCACCAAGCGCTATCTACAATGGCGGAATTGAAGAGAGGGCTCCACATTTCTGTGGGGTTTGAACTGAAAAGCAATCTGGAAGATCACTCTGTGCAGTACACAGCCCTGCCCCTTGCTTATGAAACGCCTCTAAAAAAGAATAAAACTTGTCTAGTTTATAAGCTACACGGGCGCAAAGATGTCAAAACCAATCTGTTTTATTGCTCTAAGGCTTGCTGTATGGGATAGTTGCTCGTACTCATTTCGAATTTATTAAAAGCGAGAAGACGTAATAAAACCCAGGTCACAATTTGGTTTTTAGAAACACACCGCCTAGCGTGATTTTTGTTGATCATCAAAATGCATAACCAGAGTAGTCTTGTATGATTTTGGTCACCATGATCTTCAAAAGGTCAAACAAGGTCACTGACCTTAAATGTGCACGTGACCTTTTGCTTAGAATCCTTGGCCCGACCTTCATGTCTGATCTTAGTTCAACGTAATTTGCTCATTCAATATTTGTCTTAATAAAGCTATCAGCACGGTGCTATGCATAAAGCAGAGCATGTTGCCTGCAGTAAGCGGTGCTCTATGGGTCATCATGACACAGCGTGTTTTGCTAACTGGCTGCAGCTAAAGCTTCAAATAACTAATTGCCAATTTAACTCTTAAAACACCATATATCCGAAGACAAAACAAGGAACACATAATATCATCGCCGTGTCACATATGGCACCGTCTTTTGTGACCGCACGTTGTACAAATGTGATACTTCGAGTGTGAATTGCGTAGCTGCTTTGCAAGCAGCCAACGTGAGCAACTTTTGTCGCTATGTTCCGTCTTGGCCTCCTGGTCCTGTGCGTGGTCGTGCCCGCCATGGCTAATCCCACTACCGAGTGAGTACTTGGACACACGCACCAGTCTCTGACGGCGGCGTTCAGTGCCATTTTCACCGACCGGCGACGACTGCGTCACCAAGGAGCAACTCAACACGTATACCGTCTCCCTGGATGAAAACAAAGCAGCAATAGAGTCGGATATGGAAGCATAGGCCCATGACGCCTCCCGGCGCAAGTGAGGCGGATGCAGCTTCATCGGGGAGTGGCGAGTTCGCAGCTGGCCGGTCAGAGAACGACTCCATCAGGAATCATACGACTTTCGGGGAGGAAGAAATGTCTCCAGAAAGGGCAATACCATTTCACCAATTACAAAAACAATCGTCAGACGCTGTGTGACATGGGCTTTTTTGATCAGCTCGCCAATAGGAATAGGCGGCCCGTGATATTTCCGAACAAGCTCTCAGCATACGAAATAATAATCTCTTAACATACGTCAATATAGACATGTCTGCTACCACGCACCGTTAAACGTTGTGCATGCGTTTATCCTTAGCGAAGGCGCATCATTGATGTCTCTGAATGACTCGTATGGTCCTCTGCTAGTGACGTGCTCCCAGAATTGCGGTGATTATGGGCACGTTGATGGCACATGATATTCGTCACGTGCGAAGTTGACATATCACAAGCTTACACTGCACGATCCCGCACGGAACAGCACGGGTCGGAATAGGGCTCGTGTCCCAAATCTCAAAATGAACTTGGGGCAATGAGAACCTGCAAGCACATGCAAGTTAGAATCTGTTGTCACTTTGCAGTGGGTTCGTCCGACACTCGTTAAGGGTTAGTTGAAATGGAAAACAGTTGTTACCAAATCTAAGGGTAGGTCTGCGACACCAGTATAACCAACCCTTAGAACATTGACACTGTTGGGCGAGTGTTGAAACAGTTCAATATCAGGCGTGGGTCAACTTTTCCCGAAAACTGCCTTCAAAATGCGTTCGAAGAACGAAATAAACGTTAGTAGGGAATCAGATAAAATTCGGCTTCAAGGCAATTCTTTTTATTCAACAGCTAAAATTGCTTGAAACACATCGATCATAGCGTACCTACCAAGGTTGTCGTTAATAGTCCAGTGCACATACGACAAACACTTAAAAACGCTGGTGCGAAACACGACTGCCATTCTGGAAGCGAAATTCGGTGGTTCAAAACCACTCATATCTCAAATTGCAAAGTCTCCTTTCATAGCTCACAACTCAGTCTTGGAGTTTGGAGGATATTAGGGACGCTTGTTCTTTGTGGGTCGGTTATGACATCCAATATGTCTACGAATCATGTCAAAAATGTCATTTTTTTGGAAGGACAGGCAGTAGCCTGTCCCTGAAAAACACCAATGGATGTTCTTGGCGGCACTTGCTGCTTCACTCCAAAATATGATTTATAGTTAATTTGGAAATCTTGCTAACCAGACCTAACAACCTCGCGGAAGTCAGAAAATAGCTTTTTGTGATGTTTATAGGATTAATTCCAGATCGAATTATCATAGTCATGCTTTAATTAGCCGGAATATCTCATTCACCGTTTCTTCTTGTCTGATCGGGTTTTCACTTCTGATAAATCTTTTTGTCAACAAATTTTTCACTTTTCACCTTCGCTCAAAACCACTGCAAGCTCACTGCCTTTTCTGCACAACTGAAAGCATCTAAAATTCGACGCAGTGTCTGTGCACATTACCGTTTCTTAAGCTTTCGGCAGCATTCCCAAGCATTTTGTGATACGTCACCCTACTCACCGATACTGAACTTACCTTGCCTCAAAAACGTTTCTTGATAAATGTAGTACGTTCATTGATTAAATCTGCATATGTGGAACATCTTGAACGGCACATTTAAATTTATCAGTAACAGCTGTCCGGGTCCAGCCAAAACTATATGACTGAGAGTACGTTAAATGGAGTCTCACGCCCTTTTGTGCTTTTCGCGCATTGTTACATCAGACGCTTACGATTTGATCAGTAACGCTAGCTTTCTCAAAATCTTTCTGAAAAGTTCAGAATTCCGATTTGAAGTAGCCGACTATGCGGATAAAATCTCATTTGACACTATGCTTACCGCTTTTGATGTAATACGTTTCATTTGCCTTCCTTTTTCCAATGTGTATATTCTGTACTCTTTGCAATACACTAATATGCCAAAGTTTTAGGTGATAAATGCTAGAAAAGCCCTAAACAGTCTATTGGAAGAAAAAATAGGACAACATGAGGCTATTATCAGCGAATTCAACGAAACGTTACATATGGCTCGGATTTCTCACCAATTGCGTTTACCAGATTGACTCTTTCGAGGCACATGTTGGCTCTGGGAATGTGAGTATTAC